GGCTCATTTAAAACTCCGGATACTCGTTTCGACCATGTTCATCTGGATTTGGTAGGACCTTTGCCAGATTCAAATGGGTACTCTTACCTCTTAATCTGTGTAGATCGTTTCACTCGATGGCCAGAAGCAGTACCTATCAAGGACATCACTGCTGAAGCCGTGGCCCGCACCTTCGTCGAACGATGGGTAGCAACCTTCGGTTGCCCTTCAACCATCACTACAGACCGCGGACGTCAGTTTGTGTCTGAACTTTTCCGTCGTCTGACCACACTATTAGGAAGCACTCGCTTCCGAATGACCGCCTACCACCCACAAGCAAACGGGTTGGTAGAACGTTTTCACCGACAACTAAAAGCTTCACTATCAGCTGCAAACGTTTCACAGTGGACCGACGCTCTTCCACTCGTCTTACTAGGTATCCGCAATGCAGTGAAAGCTGACATTGGATACACTGCGGCTCAACTCGTTTATGGAACGACACTCCGACTTCCAGGAGAATTCGTGGATCCTTCATCCTCTTCAATGAGCATGGATCTAACCTCCTAAACGAACAGGCTTACAAACGCAATGCGTTCAGTTGAACCTGCTTCCACTCGACCTCAATCAACTGATGTTTTCGTTCAACCTGACTTACGATATAGTACACACGTTTTCGTTCGTCGAGACTCGCATCGACGACCTTTCGAATCGACATACGAAGGACCTTTCAAAGTTCTTCAACGCGAACCGAAGTACTATATATACGATAAGAACAGAACCAACGATAGCATCACCATCGATCGCCTCAAAGCAGCGTATTTAGAAGGAAATCCTATTTACGTGGATTTTCCTTCGGTACAATCGAACGACACGACTCCGACATTTATAATACCTCATCCGACAACCAACACACACGATGATACTTCGACAGTATCCGAAAATAAACTTGAAACGACGCGTTCTGGAAGAAGAGTAAGATTTCCAGAACATTTAAACGACTATTGCACGTAAGGCACTACTCAACATTATCTCGATCCTTCCTTTTACGATATATAATGATTTTTAAAAAAAACAATTTTAATATGCGCTTATATGTATATTTTTATTTGAAAAAAACAAAAAATAAAATTTTTTTAACGCTATTACGTTTTCATGAGTTTATTTTCCATTTTTTTCCGCCGACAGTGTTTTTTTTTACGCACATACGAGTGTATTTCGACATGCACTTACATTTTCTCGTTGGGTTTAAACTTCTGGCTGGCCACGTCCTAGGGTCATCACTGCCCCACTAGGGGGGAGTGATCTGTAGCGGTAAATAAATCCCCAAACTAAATAACTCTGTAGGTTTCCGACATTGGATGCTGACCATATGTTTTAGTGGACTCACCTAGCTGAAGGCGCTCGGTCATGCATCCGCGCCAGATCACATGTGATAACGCTGGGCTCAACATCTAACGCAATCGCTAGCCAGATTAGATCAGAGATTCCCGATATATTGGTTATCGCCAAATACACTCTTCCGATCTCCTCGACTGTCTCTTTTGATTTCTTTCGGTGGGAACAAAGTATATTAGAAGATGTTACTGGTAGAAGCATTGTCAAACACTGAATACCTTGTATCATCCTTAAGTTAATCATCAGTTAAACGCTTTCAATTCCCCCTGCATTGGATATCGACACCCTTCCCCATGATATACTATATTTAGGAGTCATTTAGTGCCAGAATATATTATTCCAGTTAGAATTCGAAGAGTACTTCAAATTAAGCCTAATTAATGGTGTCTTTTCATAACTTTGATTTTTCTCTGATTACACAAAACCGATTAAAGTTAATCTAACACTCTTGCTGCTAGAGGGAAATAACCTTGATTTGACTACGGCAATTGTGATGAATCGTGAGTAACAAGCATATAAATTACGAAAATTAACGTTTAATAACCAAAATCAACTACAGAGTGGAGAATTGGCGATTCCAAAAATAACCTCATCATACCTCACAAAAACCTAGAACTTATCTTTTATCAGGGTCACATCTCTTGATACCAAACTTTAACTTCACCCAACAAATACCTGCACATTAATATGCACAATACTTTGATCACACACCAATTTCTTCATAGGAAAGTTTTATAGACTAACCTCCGTAACTAGGTTTTAATCCCTCATTAACTGTCCATCTCGTGTTCAAAGCTTGCTGATATCCAAAAAATGTGTGATAATAACTATAGCTACAACGTATAATCAATATTTGTGACATGAAGATCGATCTAATGCCATCTGAAGGCAGACATAAGTTGAGAGGATGAAGCCTAAAAAATATGGATTCTCACATGCGATATTCTCTACCTTTAACCAATTAGGAAAACATTCATCAAATACGCACAAGTTATTGCATTTGGTAGAAAGAACAGCTCACCCTGTTTTTTTTTCTAAAACGTACGAAAGTGACGACAAATTGTTGCACAACTTTACAAAAAAACAGGACCTCGTGTCATTAAATACACTGGATTCATGTTCTAAAGCCAGTCACAACTCATACTTCATTGTGCTAAAATTTAACGGGTACTAGTACGCCTTACTGTCACCAAGTGGGATTCTAAGTTTTGCCTACAACGTCGGACATCTCAAAGACAATCAAAGTCTGTCAAATACCGAACCTTTTGAAATCACCAAGGCAATGAGGTGTTCGAATCCAAATTATCCTGCAGTTTCAAGGACAATTCAAACCATGAGGACGCCAAAAACTTATGAGCTTGCAAATAAACATTTACTTTCGGCTTATGAGTCGCTTTTGATTTCACATTTTTCACCGAGGCATAGTGTTTAGATTTTAGATTATGCGGCACAGTAAGCATTTGTTTCCACTGTTGCTGTGTATCTTATAAAATGAATGCTATAATGTGGTTGCTTCTTCAGACTCTGTGCAGCATAAGGAATGAGCCTTTTGAATTTATCTTTACATACATAGAACCTCAATTAAAAATTTAAACTTTACTCTGCTGATGCCTAAAAGTGGTTATCAGTTCTATGTAAGAAGTTCGCGGTAGAGAGGACAAAAGTGCTTGGATCGATGATTAGATGTACTCGATTTATATTAATGGATTTGAATTTTAACTGAGAAAGATGAAAGAATAACCACAAATATGGTCATGATATGTCGAGTGGTTCACAGTCGACTTCGTCTTTGAACCACTTAAAGGCTTTATCTGAGCTACTTTTGAAGAACATATGACCACAGGCTGTCGGACTTCAGAAGCACGAAAGAAGTCACAAAGTCTGTTTCGTCAGATTACGTGAACAAGTTTAATAAAGGGAAACCTACTAGCACAAATTAGATAAATAGGGAGAACTCGGAGTAAAAATACAACTCTTGATATGAAACCCGGTTGTGAAAATGAAAAGTTTGATTAAATGCTGTACGTGACGTTCAACTAAAAGTAATGGGGACATCAAATACCAGGACGGTCCAGTTGCAATAAATACAAATATCTAGCTAAGTTCATAACCTTTGTATCGTGGTGTCGAGTCGCGATTGACTATGAAAACCGCTACAGAAAAACACGTGCCAAATAAATCCATAAAATCCCGCGGAAGTCAAATATCAGAAGGCAATTAATGAACCAAGTCGAGATATATTTGCTGGCGATCTCGTGGCATCGAAAGAATAACGATATCGTGCCAGGATACAAGCATGGTTACAGAACGTAACTGAATCCGCTCGAGTTCACAATAAAAGTGTGAGAATAATGGACGCTTTTTAGCACAGTTAAACAAAAGCACATTAAAACAGTCACTGGTACAATTGGTTATAATAATAATTGTTTTCAATAAACCAATCGTGACTCGACACCACGCTTCAAGTTTATGAAACGGCAAGGATGCCCTAGAGTGTGTCTTTGGTTGATGAGGTCATAAAATAGAACGATATGATGGAATCTCGAATATCTGTCGAGGTATTAACCTGAAAAATTGTTTATCGCTACAACCTGGTCGATTTATTAATTATAAATTGGATATGTAACTCAGCTTCGAGCTCCAAATAATATCTTACTCTTCTTTAACTAGATTATGAAAGCTGATAGATTGAAGTAGGTGGTCTTCAGAGTTAAAAAACCGCCTTATCGGAGTATCGGTTCGTCGAACGAAGTAATTAGATATTATAACTTTTTGCCAGAAAGAAAGATGTCAGTAATTTAGATACTAAAGATATCAGGGTTAGTTGGAAGATAAATAAAAATATAGACATACGTCTCCGGCTACCTGTAGAAAACCAGAAGTTGTTAGTAAGCTCTGTGGGAGCAAGATACATGTTCGTGAATTTATGGCGTGTAGATCACTAATGTAAATGATCTATGCTGTATGATTGTGGACATACTAGAGTTAAATGGGAATGGTGTGACCAATAGCTAACTTCAAAGTTGTACCATTCACTCAGCACCTAACATGGATTATCCCTCCGTCATATCAAGGCACTATGGTTGCTTTGATTCCGTAAAACACAAAGGATGTTACTGTGGAAATATAGAAGTAAGAATGGGTACAGAGAAAATAGTGCGGCCACCACCGCATGTGCAAGTTCATGGAATGCGATTAATTGATACGCGTTGGTTGTCTTTGGCATTGTCGGAGGCCGATGAACTGTTTGACATTCAGTGACCCAACTACCGGATGGTTTGTCCAATGCTCAATACTAATGCACTAGCCCTTCACAAGCAGCTTCATTTCATGAGACAGTTTGTGTCAAATATCCAGCATTTTCGCACTTACTTAGTGAACGGATGCTGAACGCAAGAGGCGAATCATTTATGAGAGATTCATTTTAAAATTTTACTTCACTTTATCTACTATTTTAGTTCGGTAATAAAGGATGCAACAGCATCATGTACTCAGAAGACATGAAGAAATTTTTAGATGATTGAACTGTAGTCTCCGTGAAAAATTAGCGACTTATGTGCGATAATTATTTGCTTAGTGAATGAAAAAATTATCAAAAGTGTTGAATATCAAAAGTTTATTGAACATTTTATGTTCAATACGGGTCAGTTGTATATTGGACATTAGCTTCGGGTATAAATAGTTTTGAGTGTCGTACGGGGTTTGTTTTGGGATTGTAATGTGCAGTATGAAGATGTTGGGTTGTTTCTGCGCTGTAATACTGTTCTCACTGTTCAGTTCTGAGTTAGTCGAGTCGAAATTTAAACCGCGAACAACCGATAAGGTATTTCACTTACAACTGGAAATATTTTTGTAGGACTTAAGTAATTCACCACATACCCATGAAGGTGAACACAGTGCAGCATATGATCATGATGCATTTCTGGGGAGAGACGAGGCCAAGAGATTCGATGATCTAACACCGGAAGAAAGCAAACAAAAACTGGGGTATTTAACGTTTTTCTTTATCCTACATAAGAGCGTTTTACACAGACTTGCTTATTTTATTGTTAATATAAGCGTTCATGCTTTTATCTGGCATGTTTGCCACTCAGTCGCTTTTACTTGTACCGGATTATATTCATAAAATCAAAACGTTTCATAATCGAAATTTTTCATTTTCTACGGACTAAACCAGAGCTGTAAACAATTGTTTATAGTTAGGACTTTCCTAATTTTCATCGAGTAACAATATCGATGTACATTATCATGTGATGAGCTTTGGCCTCATACTGGAGTGTGCCCCAGTGTACAAGTTTCGCATTTAATGTACAGCCATTATTAAGCATGCTTACTAGCTAAATTACTTCGGTTTTTGGATCAAAACCGTTCCTAACTTACGCTATATAGCAACCCCTTCAAACATATGGTTGGGCGCATTTTCTGACCAGACACTTAGTAGTAGTCCGTCATGATCAGGAATGATGGATACTCCGTTCTCGATCTTCAAATATAAACATTGCACAAAACACAAGAATTTCTGATAGCTATCATCGTTCAACGGTTTTAAGTTTTCGAATGATATTATTTTTCAGTGAGATTGTGGACAAAATTGATTTAAATAATGATGGTCAAATCACTTCCGAAGAAATGACTGTATGGATTAACAAAGTATCCAGAAAAATGCTCCTTGATGATGTTGATCGCGCTTGGAAAGATTTTGAATTGCTAGACGAAGACAAGTTGCCTTGGGAGAAACATGTTGACGAGCTGTTTGGTGAAGACGGAGATTTAGAGGGTACGTTAACTTCTCATTTATTTTATACACTAGGTCTATCGTCTACCATATATATATATATATATATATATATATATATATATATATATATATTGGCGCTTTCTTGTACCAATATTTATGTGTTCAAATAAAATAAAAATAATCGTGTACCATAAATTATGTCCAGACTCATTTCTATCTTATAACAAAATTCTAATTGTATTTTCAGATGAAGATGATGAAACAAAGAAAGCCTATTCTGAAAAAGACAAGAGGCGTTGGATGGCTGCCGATGCAGACGGAGATGGGAAGCTATCAAAACTAGAATACTTAGCATTCCTTCATCCAGAGCATGAACCAAAAATGCGAGATGTCGTTATAAAGGTTAGCCCTGTGACAAACTATAAAAACAACTTTTATTTACTCCGCAATTATACGCTTACTCAAAAATACCCTATATTCACTTGCGAATAATCCCATAACATTCAGGTTATTTGGAGCAGTGTATGCTCTGTGGATTATGGTGATTTTATTTAGACCGTAATTTATGTTTTTTATTAGCCTAAAAATCCATGTTGGACCTACTTCAGCCTATCACACTTCATGGAGAAGTGTAGACCTCCCAACCTGGATTTCCCATCAAATACAGACCTAAATAATGCTTTCCAGTTGCTATCCGTTCATTTGATATCCACTTCCAATTTCTAACGCAGCGTGATCCTTGGTCTTCTTTTTGTCCCTCTTCACGATCCCTAATTAGTGCTTGTTTAGTGTACTATCCATCTCAAACGTCGTTTTTTAATTTCCTCTCCAACTAGAAGCTGGTTCGTCCTCTGCTACAGTAGGTTATTGCTGATGGCATCTGGTCAACGAACATTGAGTACCTTGCGTAAAACATTGTTTATAAATAAATAAAAATGATAAACTTATGCAGAAACTGCTGCTACTCTGCATGTCTCGACCCTCATTTGTTGATGTGTATGGGATAGGAAAGCTAGGTTATCTTTGAAGTCCAAATCGTCTAGTTGCCTCTAAGCTGTCCATTATTTTCCATGCTTCACCTGAAATGTGGCGGTCTCTTCACAATCCACCGATCACGAGAAGACAGAGAAGGGGCGAGAGGAAGCAGCCTTGTCTGACGCTGATCTTCACTTGGAATGAGTGCCAGCCATCATCTATGCACGACTTAGCAGTGTAGTCCGTCGTATGAATTCTGTTTGGTACTGACGGTTTTTCATGTTAATTTCTTCCTTGTGTCATATGGTTGTTTGATATTTCTTTCTCTTGCTGCCTTTCACACTGTCATTGCTAGGTATTCTACGTATTTCTGCTTGTTGGCCGTAATGCTCCTCTTCACCCTCTTGTTTATTTTTGTGTACTCGGTCTGTGACATGGTTTCCTCTGCTCTTGTTCGACTGTTGTTAATTGCTGTCTTCTTCTTCATCCTCACTTGAGTCTTGGCAATGGTTTCGACCGAGATGCATTACTTATGATGATGCTTCTTACGGTCTAGAATCTTATGACACGTTGAAGTTAGTGCTTTTCTGATCCCTTTCCAGTTCTCCATAGTAGTTTCTTCTTCTTTTAGTAGATCATGTAAGGCTTGAAACCCGTTTCTCAGAGCTATCTTGAATTCATTGAGTTTGTCAGTATATCGAAGAAAGGCTATACAGAATTTGTTTAATGCTGAGTCTCCAGTTGTCCAGTGCTTCTTTAGCTTCAATTCCTTGTTGGTCACAATCAGGTGGTGGTGATTCGAAGGTATGTCTGCTTCTCTCCTGGTTCTTCCATTTATCTTCTGGATGTTTTAGTGATGCAAATATGATCGATCTAATTCTCTGTAGTGAGATTCATGTAACTTTGTGTATGAGTTTGTGTGGGAATATTGTCACCTTACACCGTTTTGTTGAATGCACATAAATTTGCAAATCCTTCGTCATTCTCATTCCTTTCTCTTAATCAGTTCATGTTGTCTCATTATATCTTCCTACTTGCTATTGTCCATTCGGACTTTGGCGTTAAGGTCTCCCATCAGGATGGTCAGGTCCTTTCTTGGGCACTTCTCTATGGCCGACTTTAGTCTCATTAGATTGATGTTTACTGTCTTAACTGCTAATATTGGTGGGTCCATAGCACTGGACAAAATTCATTGTGATCCCTTTTGTCTTTGTTTTCAAAAAAGGTTTGATTATTCTAGATCCATGAAATTTCCATCCTATAGGTGTTTTACGTGCTTTAGCCAGCATCAGTGCAACTTCCTGCGCGTAAAACGTCATAATTCTGAATGAAGATCCTTCATCTTGGACGGCTGATTTTAAACAGTTTAAATTGTTCATTCTGGTTAGCACTTTTTAGCAAGGTTGTTTTCTACAGGATGGAGTTGCTGACCCCATGCCCAACCCTCCTCCTTTACCCGGGCTAGAGACCGGCAGTAATCTTAGAAGAGCTGTAGATGTTGCTAAGTTAAACATATCCATGTAATTTTGTAATCGGTAGTAGTCGAGATGATTATTCAATAACTTGTTGCGAATGCTTGAGACATTTTTGTACTTCAATGAGAATTCCCTCAGCACTGAGCCACAAACTAATCATTGCTTTTAAGACTCACAAGTTAAAGTGTTTTCCAGTCAAATATGCACATTTATCTGGTCCGAATTAAACATATATGAATACTTATTATTGTCTAACACAAATAAATACCAAGTTTATCGTTAAAAAAGTAAGCACAACAGCTTAGGTTTCATCTCTAATGTAAATAATTACTTCAAGTTACATTAAGTTTTTAGACACTTTATGGTTCAACTATTTTATTTGCTTTTACAAACCTAGGAAACAATGGAAGAGATTGACAAAAATAATGATAGCTTCGTTGATCTTGATGAATATATCAGTAAGTTTTCACTGTTGATGTATTTCTTCAGATTTTTATGTCGGAAATATTCGGTCTTCAAAACTTTAATTGAATTGTTATTTTCAAACTCTATTTTTGGCCAAACTACTGATAGTATAACTTTTAAGGTAGGCAGAATAAGCCTGTTAATGAGGTTGTAGATGTCCATTGATTTATATGGTTATGTCCTTTTCTAGGTATTCTAAATCAACAAGGCCTTTATAAGTGAAGAACATCCGTAGATTGCTAGTATCTGACTATAAGTACCCTTAAAGCATATGACAGGACCACCTGTTACCTAACAATATGCACCCGGGCAGTATCACAGCCCTCACACACATATCTAATGAGATTTGTGTGGCGCATATGTATTTGTTACCTCCTTGTACCAATATCTATGTGTTGAAATAAATAATAAATAAACTGATTTATGGAGTCTCTATCTCTTGGTTTAAATTGTGGTACAACTGGGTAGGATCGCTAACAAAACCAGCGATCGAATACAAATGCTGTGAAACTATTCGATCAAATTTAGACGAAAGTTCTTACGTATTGTCCACGGTTTATTTCCTGATTCTTAACTATTTTACTGCCTGTTTCGACTGATTGACAGACTAATATTGTGATCAGTCGAGCTTATCACGGGCTTTACCACTAAAAGTTTATTCGTTAGTAATAGCGGAACAATTAGGTATTTCTACTGTTAATCATCTTTAATACTGAAGTTTTATATGGGCGGGTAGTCAACTAAAATACTCGTTGAGTCTACAAATTGTCGCAGAAGGTACAGAAACTAGTTGAGCACATAATGGGGCAAAAAATCATCCAGTTGATTCTAAAATGGGAATATTTAAGTCAAAATTTAATTTCAAGTAGAATTAATTCTCTCACACTGATTAAATACTTGAGGACTTTGGCCTTCAAGCAGTATTTTTTCATTCATCTAACTACTGGTAAATTAGCTTGAAGAGTTAGTGAAGTTTTACGCTACATCATTGATTTTTTATTGGTACTCTATCTTTATTCGATGTTTATTGGGAATTTGTCTTGTAGAAGATCTGTGGTCTCCGAATTCACCTAATGAAACGGAGCCTGAATGGGTTAAAACTGAAAGAGAGGAATTCGCCAAACGACGCGATATTAATGGGGATGGAAAACTGGATCTAGATGAGGTCGGCAAATGGATCGTACCTGAAGATTATAATCATGTCCAAGCAGAAGTAACCCATTTATTCTCAGAATCAGATGCAGATCAGGTAGAGCTTATGTTGATTATTGTGTCTTCTTAATTTTTCGTAAATATGATCTCAGATATGACTAGTGTCTTTATAATACTTGCCAGTTTTCCATTGTAAGTTTTTGTTGCTATTTATATCGAGAGACTTAAAAGGTAAGATGGCTCTTAATTGTTTTCCATGCTAATCGTAACCTTGTATTTTCCAACCAAAAAATTAGTTTAATATTGAACTCTGAAAATTTCCGGATCTAGAGAAGTATTTTCATTCGAATAACATATGATAAATAGTATGTTATCCTTTTCGGGAAAGCCTTCTTTATGCTAGTGTCAGCAATATAGACTTGTACAATTATGACCATCCCGTCATTTACAATGGCTACCAACTATCATTTTGTGTATGGGATCACATCGATCTAATTTGTTCTCGGTAGAGACGAATTTTACTCAAACTTTTATTTTGTCAAATATATATCGCATATTTTTTAAATTTTCTGTTAATATTATTTAGGATGGAAAACTCAGCAAAAACGAAATACTAAATCGTTACGACTTATTTGTTGGTAGCCAGGCAACCAATTTTGGGGAAATCCTAGTTGGTCATGATGAATTATAACAATGTGAAATCTGTCAGTGAAGTAATCCGACAACCGACTGTCTGTTAAATATCTTAAGGATCTTTTTCTTTTAAAAGTCTAACATTTTCTTGGTTCATAGTTTCTATCAGTTATTATACGTTATTACCTCTATTGCACAAACATCGTGAATTCATATGTTCTTGTTAATCAACACAAACTTTCAAAAACACTTGATTAATCAAATGTGTCAATAAAATTTGTTGAAGGTCGTACATTTTACAAGTGCCTATTCTAGCGCTTATTTTGTTTTTATCTTACAAACAATTTCGTCTATATTTTATTCACTTGAGCTATCCGTTTATTTTCATGTTTTATACTTTTTAATCGTTTATTTGTATATGAATCAAAATAGTTTATTTGCCAGTTTCATTTTTAGTTGATCTCTTTTGTGCGCATGCTAATCATTAATATGTTTTGTAATGTATAAAAATATATTATTGCTTTACATGTATTTGTTTTTGATGTTCACAAATATATGACTGATTTACTCATTAGTTAAAGAAATCTAAGTTTAGTGTTATTTTCTCGATTATTGAAAACTGCTATTCGTAAGTAAATGCAAGTTTGGTCAATCTTGTGTAAGCTTCAGTTGCTCCCGAGATCATTTATAATTGTTAACTCTCATCCCACACCTGTATGTATTATTCCCATTATTTGTGATTGATGAATCACTCTTAAACTAACAGTCTACTACTAAAGGATTTCACAGACTAATTAACCTTTACTTCCGCAGACAGACAGTCAATTATTTGACTCCCTCCATATACCCTTGTTTTCATAAAATTCACCCATGCTATGATAAATAATGCATCACAGTTGACAGTAACTAGTCATGCGTAACACATCTTCATCAACCAGCTTTCTATCTCTACATAGTACCCTTCATCTGTCCTCCACATTACTCTTTTTTTAATTGCAGCATATGCGGGATAGTTTTATAGAACTAGTGAGTTATCGGTTCATGGAACGTGGTCATGACCTAAATCCAAAGTCTTAGTACTTGTGAAGTTGTCCAATATATTAAGAAAGGAAAATTAGATCCATTTAGTTCCTTTATATTTTGCCCGATTTAGAGTTAAGCTACTCATAAGTAGCTCACTATTTCTAAGGCGAAACATGGTTTTACTAAGACTGAAAATTATACCCTTATTGAGATGCGAATTTCCTATCACCACTATGATGAAACTCACTTGTATTCCAATTTCATATAAAGTTTTCATCAAACCATTTTTGGTTATGCGTTATTCAAAGTGATTTTTAGGTTGGTAAATATATCAAAATGATTGGAAACGAATGCGGACAGAGATTGACTAAGGTAATAGTGAACCTTAGTTATCCGGTTATTTTAGCCAGTGTAAGAACTGTCGTGTTTGATTTATACCTAATTTTCACATAATTGTGCTAACATATGTGAAAAGAATCGAAAAATGTGAGAACAGATGCTGTATTTTTCTCACATTATGACAATCTTTTCACTAAACGAAAAGACATTTAGAATTTATCTTAGAATTTGACAGTTTTTTGTCTGTATATCTGAATCTTAATTGTTACACTGATATGGAAGGTACAATAAATACTATTTCGTTAATCATTATAGGTGGCCTCTTAAAATTTTTTCCACATTTTAAAAGCTTCAAACTGAATAATGGGTACGAAATTTTAATTACTCCGAATAATATATTTGTAAAAATGCCCTGGTATGGCCGGGAGTGGGGTGGGCCATCCCTCTCGAAATTATCTCACACGTATACAGCCTCTGCCAGGGATGTCCTACTCTCTGCCTTCTCGTGGCGGGGGTGCTGTTTACGAAATTGAGAGGACGAAAAGCGAATGTCCAGCGCTTTAACCGGATCACAAACCAATGGTGCACATGGGCTCCAGTATCCTGCGGGAACAAATGGCGTATAAACCAATCGTTGGTCGCCGGCTACCATGGGATTGCATCTCCTTACGATGCTTCACTGCCTTGTTGGTCAGACCTTTAGGTCAAAGGCTCGGGGTGTGGCTCCCTTAGAAAACCACTTTCTTCGGTTTGGGCACCCGGGCAATATCATAGCCCTCACACAAATCGAATGATTTATGTGGCGCATATCTACTTGGTGCCTTCCTTGTACCAATGTTTATGTGTTTAAATAAATAATGTAAAAACAAGTATATGTTTTTAATACTTATGAAAGTAACTGACATTTTAATTTTCTTTGGTTGTTAATTATTTAGATTGACTAGAAAGATTATTATTGTCGCTAAGAAAGGAATAGGAATTTAGGAGGGACACTGATTATGAATACAGTGGTCTTGAATGCTGTTAGAGGTAGCTGATTGACTTATTGTCGCTACTTCATCCTTTGTAGGAGTAACAAGTACTTTCAAATTTGACTCAATTTTTTTACTGAAATTACTCAGCTGTTTGATATTATGTTGCCTCGTGAATCCTAAGTAGGTAGTTTAACTCAGCCGTAATGAATAATGAGCTGATGTTTAATATCCTAAGTAGTCGATTCTGAGCCATGTCACCAAGAGTCTCTAACCATTGATTACGATAGTCACGCGGACCCCGACCAAGTAGTCTGCATCTACCAACATGGCTCAGACTATAAGTTAGTGACTTCAAGCACTGATACCACGTTTTTGTTTGGCCGCCTCTTACTTTCTTCCAACCATCTCCAACACCGGTTAGCATTGCACGTCGTGGTAATCGGTGTTCGGGCATACGTAACACGTGGCCCAACCACCTCAGTCGATGAAGATTAACAACCTCACCAACTGATTTACCATCATTCCATAATACCCTGCGTCTAACCTCAATATTACTTACCCGATGATCCCAACAGATGCGACCAATATCTCTAAGGCATCTGTGGTCAAATATTAGTAACTTACGAGTATCTTCTACTCTTGATGTCCACGCTTTGCAGCCAAAAAGTAGAACAGAACGGACTGCCGCACAGTATGCTCGTCCCTTAATTGATAGACAGATATCTCACCTTGGCCATAGGTGACGTAAGTTGGCAAACGCCAAGTGAGCTTTTCGAATCCGTGCTGAGGTTTCGTCAGACACCAACCCATTAGAGCTGATCATTCTTTCAAGATAAATGAGTTTTTCAACTCATTCGACAACTTCACTCCCTATCTTTAGTTCAGGTGTTGACGCAGACCAGTCCTGAAGCAACAACTTGCATTTAGAGGGGGAGAAGCGCATCCTAAACATTTTGACATTTCTGCTCAGCGCTACCAAAAGAATATGCATTTTGTCAGCGTCTTCACCAAACAGGACTATGTCATCTGCATATTCCAAGTCGATAAGTGGACCTCCTGGAAGGAGATTAATACCACAGAATTCAGTAGACGAGAACGTTATTTCAATCAGTATGTCTATGATGAAGTTGGACAAAAATGGAGAAAGTGTACAGTCTTGACGGACACCACTTGAGGTTGCAAAAGCAGGTGACAGTTCGCCATAAGCTCTGACTCGACTAGTAATGTTCGAGTAAAGAGCCTTCACAAGGTACTTCTGAGGTACACCTTTCAGTGACGGACACTGCCACAGAACCTCTCGGTCTACAGAGTCAAATGCTTCTTTTAATTCAAGGAAGACCATTATTGTCACCTGACGAATGGTGAATATGTAGTCGATGCAGCCACGAACAGGTTTGAAGTCAGACTGATTTTCTCGTGTTTGCAGTTCACGAGTCTTAGTTAGGCGCCCGATAATTTTGAGGCTAGTATTTTAGATACTATATTAGTCAAACTAATCCCTCTATGGTTGTCACTGGATGATTTTGACCCCTTCTTATATATCGGAACAATAAGCGATTGCGACCAATCAGATGGGACTACATCCAACTCCCAGATCTTAGCTAAAATATTAGTCAACCTAATCGCTAAAATTGGACCACCATCCTTAAAGACCTCTGGAGCCAATCCATCTGAACCAGCTGCCCTTCCTCGTTTCAGATTAACTATAGCCTTTTGAACTTCTGCTAGATTTGGGGGACCTACTTCCATGTTCCATTCACGCTGTCTGGGAATGGAGGGTAGTTGTAGAGTCGCTGAAGGCCAGCTGAACTTTCATTTTCACGTACCTCTCGAAGAACCCTTTCACGGTATGGGTAACTGGAAAGTGATTACCGCCATCCTACCTCTAACAGCACTGAAGACCATATATATTTATGTAGGCTTTCTTCTTTGCAATATATATATATATATATATATATATATATATATATATATATATATATATATATATATATATATATATTGCAAAGAAGAAAGCCTACACTTCATTTTTCTAAAATATTGAACTGAATAAAAAGAAATCTTTATGAAATATTGTTCAAATACCAATTGTACTAAAAACTTGTGACTAAAAGCTCTATCGTGACAAACCTATCATGATGCGTATATAACAACAGGGACTGATTGGGTTTAGCGCCAAACATCACCAACGAGAAGGTATAAATTCTTACTAATACCATCTTAGCCAAAGACGCTGGTGATCATCCGGTCTCAGTGGTTTAAATGATAATGTTATTTGAAGCGAAAGTTATTGGGCTTGAATAACTGTGAACTTCAACTCTCAAACGTAGGTAAATCTAACTGACAAATTTCAAATAGAATGAAATACGTTTCTTGGATTCTCTTGTTAGTTACATACCAGATATACTAAAGCGTTTAGATATTTATTTGAAGTTAAGTGCCAGTTAGAACACAAAAAGCGGATTAACTTTTATTCACGTACTTGTTGCCTTTGGTGTATTAAGTTTCATTCCCCCCAGATTTCCAATTGTTCTTTAGATGAAGTCAGTCTATGATGGAAACTAACTTCACAAAGAACAAACCTATTCATCATCCTTTTTAAGTGAAGACTTATGGGTTGAGTAAATTCCACAAAGTGGTCTTATCTCATTTTTATTCTTTAATTTTACTTTGTGAAAAACAGTTTATTACTCACATCACTTGTTAATAAACAAACAAACTTCTCTATCGACTGAAAATCTTCCCTGGGTTCGAGTCCTGCGTGCGCGCTGCTGAGGAGTCCCATACAGGGACGAAACAGCTGTCCAATATTCCTTGGTTTTCAATCGTGGTCTAGCTTAGATCTACTCATGAATTCGGCTATTAAAGTTACTACAATCTCTACAAACTCCCATTCTGATAAAGAAAATTGTCGTCAATAATTTTAAGTTTCCGAGTAAAATCATCTACGTTAAAATCAAAATTTAATATTAAATAATCTTAATTAAGTTTGAACAGAAAATCGAAATGAAAATCTATGACTTTGTCCAAGTGATTATAAATTACCATAAGAATCAGTTCTTCAAGTTATGTTTTTAAGAATATCATTACTCAAATTGTTTCAAAATCTTCGATCTCCCATCACCACTACTAGATCGTTTCAAGTCTCACCCTACGAAAGGCAAAATGAGGTTTTTTTACGTGGGTGGAATTT